AATTAGGTCAAGTTAGTGGTTGTCCAAGTAGTAACTTTAAGATTAATAATATTAGTATAATGCGTGATGGCTTGAAAGCTGCGTGGGTACAGTGTCCTCTGGATGTGGCTGCCAAAATTGCAGAGTTAGGTAGAATAACCTTAGGTTGGACGATCGTCCGTATAGAGTTATTAAGGAAGCGTCCTGTTCAGTGCTTTAGGTGTTGGAACTTTGGGCACGTAAGAACAAATTGTAAGTCTGATATCGAAAGGACAGGCAGATGTTTTCGCTGTGGAGAAGAGGGCCATGCGGCCCGGTACTGTTCAGCGCTTCCCAGGTGTGTAATATGTCAGGATCTCAAAAAGGACTACAGGCACAGGATGGGATCACCTGTCTGTCTTAATAATCAGGGTTTTCCTAGTGGGGCTTTAAACTTACGTAAAGTTTCACGTAGTTAAATAGTTAGTTATGTGCTCAAATATAATTCAGATAAATCTGAATAGAAGTTGGGAGTCATACGATCTCCTTAAGCAGTATATGATAGAATTAAATATTTGTATTGGGCTGGTTGCCGAGCCTCCTAGTAGGGTAACGGATAGTTATTTTTGGTTCACGAGTGAGGATAAACTTGCTGCTATTCTATGGAGTGGCGAGAACTCTAACGGAATGAACTGTAGACTCTTCTCTAGAAAGAAGAATTTAGTTGCTGTAAGGTTTGGCAAAATAGGTTTTGTGTCATGTTATATCTCACCTAATACAGATATAGAAACATTTGAGGTTTTTCTTGATGAACTTGCAGTATGCGTTAGAGAATTAGGCTGTCCCACTATAGTAGGAGGAGATTTCAATGCGAAATCATTCTTGTGGGGCTCTAGTTCTTGCGATAGAAGGGGAGAACTCGTTGAAGATTGGGCAGCAATGCTAGGTCTTTGCATAATGAATCAAGGGAATACTCCTACTTGTGTGAGGCCGCAGGGTAGTTCGATAATTGACTTAACGTGGTCAACACACGATTTGGTCAATAGGTTTGTTGAATGGTCAGTCATGAAGGATATGGAATCTCTCTCGGATCACCGATACATAATGTTTCAAGTTAATTTGGGTAATCAATCTGAAAGAAATAAATCATATAAGATGAGATTTAATTTTAAAAAGATGGATAAAGAAATGTTTATTAGCGCAGTTGAATTACTAATGGATGTCAAGATTACGGAAAATGTAGTAAATTCTCCGGAAAGATACGCCGAATGGTTCATGAGTGTTGTCAAAGATGCGTGTAAGGTATCTACGCCAAAGGTTTCGGCAGTAAATAAGAGAAGACGGGTGTATTGGTGGTCCGAGGAGATTTCTAATTTGAGAAAATCGGCAATCCTTGTTAGAAGGCGACTTACCAGAGCCAAAAGGAGGCAGCATTTGGTTCAAGTAGCAGATCTCGAGGTACAATATAGAATTGCTAGAAAGGCTCTTAAAGTAGCAATCAGAAATAGCAAGAACCGATCATGGACGGAGTTGATAGCTACCATTGATGAGGATCCTTGGGGTTTGCCGTATAAAGTAGTTATGGGAAAACTACGCAGGTCCAGCCCTGCCTTGTCCGAAGTAATAGAAATAGGAGTTCTTGACAGGTTGTTGGAGTCGTTGTTTCCGAACAATGTCTTACGAGTGACTCCTACATTTACTGAGGAGGTGTGGGATGAGTTGTGGGATGTTGGTACGGATGAAATTAGAACGCATGTCATTAAACGGTTGGCTAGGAACGTTGCTCCGGGTCCGGACAGCATAAAATCTGTTGCGTGGAGGAGCATCCCATATATTGCGATCGAGCATTTGGCTAATTTGTTTACCTCTTGCGTTAGGAAAGGGATTTTCCCGATTAAGTGGAGGAGGGCGACCTTGGTGCTGATACCCAAGGGTCCTATTAAATCAGTGGAGAATATCAGGGCTCGCCCAATCTGCCTATTGGATGAAATAGGAAAGTCGTTTGAAAGAATAATAGCTGCCAGAATAACACAGTGGCTCGAGGAGAATGTGGAATCGTCGTTATCCGATAATCAATTTGGATTTAGGAGGTGGCGCTCCACGATTGACGCCTTGAAACGCTTGAGAGAGTATTCGGCGGATTCATTGAGAGGTGAGGGATTCACGATAGCGGTGGGGTTGGACATTGCTAATGCGTTCAACTCCATTCCGTGGTCGGTTATTCTTGAGGCTATGCAAGAGAAGGGTTTTCCTCAGTATTTATGTAGGATAGTCTCTAGCTACCTTTCCCGCAGATCTATTTTATACAGAGATGCGAATGGTATGCTGTCGAATAGGTCGGTCAGGGCGGGTGTTCCGCAGGGGTCGGTTTTAGGACCACTCTTGTGGAACATAGCTTTTGATTCTGTGCTGAAACTTAAATGCGAAGTTGGCTGTAATATAATTTGTTATGCCGATGACACATTGATAGTGGCCTCCTCGGATAGGTTGTTTGGTGCCATTGTCAGTGCAAACATTCAGGTGGCGCGTGTGTTTCAGCACATAAAGAAATTAGGATTAACGGTCGCGGAGGAGAAAACTGAGGCAATCCTTTTCTATAAAAGAAAACCAAATGTTATGCCTTTGGTGAGAGTCGGTAGTATGGATATACAGACTAAAAGTTCTATGAAGTACCTCGGTGTTATGTTGGATAGTCGCTGGAAGTTTGACAGCCACCGGGTATATTTGGAGGAAAAGCTTGGAAAGGTAGGTAGAGCCCTAAATAGGTTAATGCCTAATTTGAGAGGTCCTAGAGAGAGGAAAAGGAGATTGTACGCGAATATCATGACATCAGTAATGATGTATGCTGCTCCTATTTGGAATGGACCATTAGCTCAGTCCTATAAGACATTGGGAATAATTAAAAGAATCCAGAAAACAACAGCGATAAGAGTAATAGCGGGATATCGTACAGTTTCCTTTGATGCTGCGACTCTTTTGGCTCGTATGGCTCCATGGTCGTTGGAGGCGGCAATGAGAGAGAGAATATATGAGCGGATAAAGGTTCTTAAAGAGAACAATGAATACTCAAAGGATGCAGTTGAGGAAGTTCGAAGAGAAGAGAGAGTGTTGCTGGTAAGGCAGTGGGATGTTTTCTTAAACAGACCGGGTGTTTGGGGACACCGGACTATAGAAGCAATTAAACCACTCTTGGGAAGATGGCTGGATAGACGACACGGTGGACTGACGTATTACACCACGCAGATTATTACCGGTCATGGCAGTTTTGGGCACTTCCTCTGGAGAGTGGGAAGGAGGCTCACTGCAGAATGTCTTCATTGTGGATACGATGATGACACACTGGAACATACACTCATTGACTGTCCTGTGTGGAGTTCGATGAGAAATAAATTAATAGATGATCTAGATCTAAATTCTACAGAGTTGTCATTATCAATGGTGGTTGAAAAAATTGTAGAAATAGGGATAATTGGAATTCTTTCCAGGAATTTTCGTTTTCGGTAATACAAATGAAGGAAGAAGAGGAGAGGAGGAGGGCTATTTTAAGCCCGAATCCTACACCTTAATTACCTTCCTTCTGTCCCTTCCTTCATTATATTATCATTATCATTATTTCATATATATTTCACTTGCATTCATTCATTTATTTCATTCATTCATTTATTCATCACTCATTCATTTATATTCATTGCTTCATTCATTTATTCATTCATAATAGTCATTCATTCATTCATTCATTTATCCATTTTATTCACTTATTCATTCATTCATTCATTCACATTATCACTACAAATACTTACCTATACTTACCTTTTGTTTTCCTTATTTGGAGTGATAACCCTTCATGTTCTGAACTGGGGGTGTAAATGGGGTAGTTTACACGTACCATGGCACGTTCAGGGCATGAGGGGCGGACGCTATGGATTGCACAGTGGTACCATAGTGTTCCCTTTATGAGTTAAGGTTGTATTAACCTGGCTATGCTTCAGGAATGTTATAGAATGTAAGTAGAATCTTGATACTTGGTGGAGCACATAAAGTGCAGACGTAAGGCTGCTTCCTGGAAGTAATGCGTAAGCGGTTCCCAGGAAGCAGTCGTTAATGCGTTAGGTGCCACCGTCAGGTTTAGTGGGTCGGGTTAGGACCTTCTGTCCTATCCCATCCCCACATAACAAAGCCTCTTCCCCGAGGCGGCGTATGTGTTGAGCACATTCCTGACGAAAAAAAAAAAAAAAAAAAAAAAAAAAAAAAAAAAAAAAAAAAAAAGGTTAGGTTAGGTTAGGTTAGGTTAGGTTAGGTTTCCCTCAGGGGCACTACAGACTCATCCCTGTAGTGTACGGGTGTCGCAATCCCGAGGTACCCGAGCTGGAGTGTGTGGTGACGGATGAACGAGGTGCGATGGGCGTGCAGGCCCTAAAAAGGACTTGTCCACTGCACTAGGTGAAGGAAAACACCGAAGATAACACCCGGGGGGGAGGCCCCGTTAGCTGAGTAAGGCAACCTCCTAAGGGGAAGGAAAACCCCCGACAGAAAAAACCAATTTCTTTTTCAGATACTATGAGCGGCTCAGGAAAAGAAGAGACTGTCCTAGGGTCGGTAACTAGGAACCGGCGTGGGGGGGGTGTAGGCCTGGCTCCCCCTCGTCGTCATCAGACGACAGGTCGTCCACGGATTTGCCGGCTGGGTCCGTGGATCAGAACACGACAGCGCCGAGGAGCAGGACAGAGGACGAGGTGGAGAACCGGCTCATCAAGCTGGCCATCCAGTGGGAGGATCGCGATAGGTCCGCTGATCCTAGGGACCTTGCGTTGGAGATGCGCCGGGTCCTTCTGGACGAGTCGGTGCGCGAGTTCCGGTATCTCGGGATATACCATGCGCTGTCCCGATATGCCGGAAAGTTTTTGCGCAAGTGCGCATCAGGTAAGACTGCGTTCTGCGGGGCGCATGAGTGTGTCCCTGATGGATTGTTGAAGGATCGTCCTCGGCCCCCCTCTCTGGAGAGGCTGCGTGGAGACAGCGATGAGGGGGCCCTTGAGGTCACTATGGGTGAAGACGCGTTGGGCGCTGCCTCTGCCTCCCCTGGGAGGTCGGATGGCGCGCTCGACGTGTCGGAGCCCGGATTGCGTCTTAGCCCGGTGGAGGTCCTCGACCGAGAGCAGATCCTGGCGAACAACTGCCGGGCTTATGCGGAGGAAGTCGAGAGACTTGAAGCTCGAGTTGCCTCACTGGAGGCTCAAAATGTGAAACTCCTTGAAGAGCTGGAGTTGATGAGGAGATTGGCTGCTCCCCTTCCTCCCTCTTCTGGGGAGAAGGAAGCGCCCCCTCGAAAGAGGAAGTCGCGGCGGAAGCGAAGTAGGGGGGCGGACTCTGAACCGGAAATTTCCGGTGAGGGGACTGTCTCTGCGGTTCGGGGGACTCTATTTGAGCCCTCCTCTGATGTTGCTTTTCGGGATGACCCACACCAGCAGCTAATAGCGCGGGTGGGTCTCCTTATCGATGAGCGTCTTTCTGGGGCGCTTGGGGGCCTGAGGCGGGCTGTAGAGTCCCTCAGGTCCTCACTGGAGTCTCGGGGAGTGGGGCAGTTCTGGCTGCCTCCGCTCCCTCTACCAGCGAGGTTTCCCCTGTCCTCTCCATGCGTAAGCGGGGGAGGCGGGGTCGTGGCGGTATATCGGCGGCCTGCTCTCCGGGGGCTGGGTTGCCTGCTTCATCGGCGACTGTTACGGTTGTCGGTGGGTCGGGTGGCCTGGGTCCTGGGGGGGCTCGGGCGTCGGGCCCTGCGGTTGGCCCTGGGTTGGGTGCGCGTCGGGGCCGGGTTCGGGCTGCGCGAGTTCCGAGTGGGTCGGCCGTACAACTCGTTTCTACGAGGGGCCGGTCCTACTCGGACATTTTGAAGGAGGCGAAGTCGCGTGTTGACCCCGAGGAGTTGGGCATTGGCCCGATGAAGATGAGGTTTGGTGTGACTGGGGGCCTGCTTTTGCAGGTCCCTGGAAAAGACACGGCTGCGAAGGCGGATCTGCTTGCAGGCAGACTGCGGGAGGTCTTCTCGGGGGGAGATGTGGTGGTCTCCCGCCCCCGGAAAACCATGGAGCTCAGGCTTCGTGGTACTATGGGGGAGGAGACTGCCTCGCGCGAGGAGATTTTGGAGGCGCTGGGATCTCTGGGGGGATGTGACGCAGGGGATATCCGGATCGGGTCGGTTCGGCCCTTGCCGCGGTCCCCCTTGAGCACCCTTTGGGTGCGTTGCCCGTTGGCTGTTGGCCGAAAGGCCTTGTCAACGGGTAGACTTCGGGTAGGCTGGAACACCCTGGAGGTCGAGGCGCTTCGTGCCCGGCCTCTGAGGTGTTTCAGATGCCTCAAACTGGGGCATGCGCGGGTAAATTGTGCGTCGGACGCGGATCGCTCGCGGTGCTGTTACCGCTGTGGTGTCGAGGGACACCAAGCGGCGGGGTGCGTCGCCACTCCCCGTTGTCCGGCTTGCTCGGACGGTGGGGAGTCGGCTCGACATGTCCTGGGGGGTCGGGGGTGCGTTTCGTTCCCCCTTCCTCCCGGGCAACGATCATCCGGGGCGAAGGATAGGCGCCAGGCTCCGGGCCGTCCTGATGGGGGACGACCTTTGGAGATCGCGGCTGCCTCAGCAGTTGGGTAATGTTGTTATGTCCTTTGTTATGTCCTTTTCATTAGGTAGCGGTGATGGGCTTGGGGCGCCGGGGAGGTTGCCGAAAGGTGACTCTGCGGCCCCCTTGTCCGCGCCAGGTATATGTGTTTTGTCTTAGTTTTCTTGTCCTTCGTCTATAGGTGGTGTGAACATCATGCACCACCTTTATATGTTTTTTGGCTACTGTGCCTTTACTGTTGGCCCCTTGAGGGCTGGGCCTGTGGCCCCTATTTGGTTTCGTTGTGGACGTGTATATGTCTGTATATATGTTTGTCCACATAGTTGGTGACGTCCTGTGGCGTCTTAAATGTGGGGTGGGCGGCTGCGGTCGTCTCACTAACCGGGTTCGGCAGGGAGAAGGGTGGGGGCCTTGATCCCATTGCACGTCGACCCAGGGAAGTCCGGGGGGAGCTAGTAGCCCGGCTCCCTCCGATGCCCTTTCGGGGCAAGGGAATGTCCTCTCCGGGGGGATACCTGTAGTATCCCTCCGGGGGATGTGTCCTACCTCAGGACGCCGGTCGGGTGTCCACCGTGAAGTTATGCTAAACGCGGTTCCGCGGTGGACAGTACCCATACGACCAGGGGCTTCAGTCAGGTTTTAGGTCGGTCCCCCGCCCGATAGTCCCTCGGGATACTACGGGCGGGAATCCACCACAAAGCCTCCCGACCCTCCCTCAGGGGTCGGGACGGCGAAGTTTGGTTTAGGCAAATTTCCTGACTATAAAAAAAAAAAAAAAAAAAGGTTAGGTTAGGTTAGGTTAGGTTTAGGTTTCCCTCAGGGGCACTACAGACTCATCCCTGTAGTGTACGGGTGTCGCAATCCCGAGGTACCCGAGCTGGAGTGTGTGGTGATGGATGAACGAGGTGCGATGGGCGTGCAGGCCCTAAAAAGGACTTGTCCACTGCACTAGGTGAAGGAAAACACCGAAGATAACACCCGGGGGGGAGGCCCCGTTAGCCAGGCAAGGCAACCTCCTAAGGGGAAGGAAAACCCCCGACAGAAAAAACCAATTTCTTTTCTAGATAAAATGAGTAGCTCCAGGAAAGAAGAGAACGTCCCGGGTTCGGGTACCGGGAACCGGCGTGGGGGGGGTGCAGGCCTGGCTCCCCCCTCGTCGTCAACATACGACAGGTCGTCCACGGATTTGCCGGCTGGGTCCGTGGATCGGAACACGACAGTGCCGAGGAGCAGGACAGAGGATGAGGTGGAGGACCAACTCATCCAGTTGGACATCGCCTGGGAGGAGCTGGGAGAGGACGACGATCCCAACGATCTCGTAATCAAAATCCGGCACGTCCTCCAGGATGAGAACGTTCGTGCCTACCGTTGGTTAGGTGTATACAGGCACCTGAAGGCGCACCTTCGAAATTATTCGAAGAAGTGCGCCTTAAAAATTATAGAGGAGGAGCCTGATCTCCGGGACAAGGAGATGGAGGAGATCCGTGGGGACTCACCGCGGGATGTGTCTCCTAAGGTGAGTGGACTGGGTGACGGCGCATTGGGCGCTGCCTCTGCCTCCCCTGGGGGGCCTGGTGGCGCGCTTGATGTGTTGGAGCCCAGTATTCTCCATGGCCCGGTGGAGGTCCTTGACGGGGATCAAGTCCTGTCGGATAGCTGCCGGGCTCACGTAGAGGAGATCGAGAGGCTTAAGGGACGCGTGGTGAGCTGGAGGCGAGCAACCAAAAACTCCGCGAGGAGTTGGAGGTTGTTCGCGGTTTGATGGCTCCCCTTCCTCCCTCTTCTGGGGAGAAAGAGGCGCCTCCTGCGAAGAAAAGATCGCGGCGGAGACGGGGCAGAGAGATTGTCTCTGAGCCGGAATTTTCTGGCAAGGAGACAGCCTCTGAGACGCGGAGGACTTTATTTGAGTCCTCTGATGCGGCTTCGGGGGGGATCCACACCAGCAGCTTCTAGCGCGGGTGGATCTCCTCATCGAGAGGCGCGTATCTGGGGCGCTTGAGGGCCTGAGGAGGACTGTAGAGTCTCTCAGGTCCTCTTTGGATTTCCGGGGGAGTGGGGTGGATTTGCCTGCCCCCGCTCCTCCTGCCAATAAGGTTTCCCCTGTCCTTTCCACGCGTAGACGGGGGAGCGGGGTCGGGGTGTGAGTGGGGCGGTCTGCTCTTCTGGGGCTGGGTTGCTTGCCTCGCCGGCGGCTGTTATGGTTGCTGGTGGGTCGGGTTGCCCTGGTTCTGGAGGGGCTCGGGCGTCGGGTCTCGCGGCTGGCCCTGGGTCGGGTGCGCGGCGTGGGCAGGTGGCTCGGGCTGTTCGTCCGAACGCGTCGGTCGTGCAGCTTCTGTCGACGGGGGGTAAGTCCTACGCGGATATTTTGAGGGAGGCCAAACCCGAGTGAATCCCGAGGAGCTGGGTATTGGGCCCATGACGATGAGATTTGGAGTAGCCGGGGGTCTGCTTCTGCAGGTCCCTGGTAAGAGTACGAAAGAGAAGCGGACAGGCTCGCGGGCAGGCTGCGGGAGGTCTTCTCGGACGGGAGTGTGGTGGTCTCCCGCCCCCAGAAAACCATGGAGCTTAGGCTTCGTGGGACTATGGGGGAGGGGATCACTTCGCGCGAGGAGATCTTGGAGGCGCTGGGGTCTCTGGGGGGATGCAGTGCGGGGGACATCCGACTCGGGTCGGTCCGTCCCCTGCCGCGGTCTCCTTTGAGCACCTTGTGGTTGCGCTGTCCTGTATCGGTGGGCCGGGAGGTTTTGTCGTTTGGAGGGCTGAGGGTGGGGTGGAACACCCTCGAAGTAGAGTTGCTTCCCGCCCGCCCTCTGAGATGCTTCGGGTGCCTGGAGTTTGGCCACGTGCGGGCTAAATGCACGTCCGGAGTGGACCGTTCGGGCCTTTGTTACCGGTGTGGTGCGGCGGGACACCGAGCGGCGGGGTGCGTCGCCACCCCTCGCTGTCCGACTTGTGCGGACGGCGGGAGGTCGGCTGACCATGTCCTGGGTGGGCGGGGGTGTAGTTCGCTCCCCCCTCCACTCGGGCAACGAAACACCGGGGTGTGCGATAGGCGCCGGTCTCCGGATCGTCCCGATGGGGGACGGCCTATGGAGACTGAAGCTGCCTCGGCGTGCGCGAGGGCTCCGGGGCCCCCTGTCGGGGGGGCTCCCGATAGCCCCGAGTGGCTGGAGGTGGACTGCGGTCGGGGGCAGGGGAGGTCACGGAGAGGTGGCTCCCCTGTGCCGGGCTGCAGCTCTACTCCCAACGTCTAGTGTTGTTTTTGTAAATTAGTCGTAGTGTGTAGCGGCGGATGCGGGGGGTTCCGGGGAGGTTGCCGTTAGGTGACTCCGTGGTCTCCCTGCTCCGCCAAGTTTATGTTTAGTAGGTAGCGGCGATGGGTGCTGAGTGTCGGGGAGGTTGCCGAAAGGTAACTCCGCGGCCTCTTCACCCGCGCCAAGTTTATGTTGTGGTTTAGTGTCGTCTTTCGTTCATAGGTGGGAGTTACAACCCTCCCACCTTTATTGTGGTCGGCCTCTGTGCCTTATCGTTGGCCCCTAGAGGGCTGGGTCTGTGGCCCTTATTTGGTTTTGTTGTGGACGTGTATATGTTTGTCCACTTAGTTGGTGATGTCTCGTGACGTCTAAGTGTGGGGTGGGCGGCTGCGGCCGTCTCACTTACCGGGTTCGGCAGGGAGAGGGGTGGGGGCCCCGATCCCATGGCACGTCGACCCAGGGAAGTCCGGGGGGAGCTAGTAGCCCGGCTCCCTCCGATGCCCTTTCGGGGCAAGGGAATGTCCTCTCCGGGGGGATACCTGTAGTATCCTTCCGGGGGATGTGTCCTACCTCAGGACGCCGGTCGGGTGTCCACCGTGAAGTTATGCTAAAACGCGGTTCCGCGGTGGACAGTACCCATACGACCAGGGGCTTCAGTCAGGTTTTAGGTCGGTCCCCCGCCCGATAGTCCCTCGGGATACTACGGGCGGGAATCCACCACAAAGCCTCCTGACCCTCCCTCAGGGGTCAGGACGGCGAAGTTTGGTTTAGGCAAATTTCCTGACTATAAAAAAAAAAAAAAAAAAGGTTAGGTTAGGTTCCCTCAGGGGCACTACAGACTCATCCCTGTAGTGTACGGGTGTCGCAATCCCGAGGTACCCGAGCTGGAGTGTGTGGTGACGGATGAATGGGGTGTGATGGGCGTGCAGGCCCTAAAAAGGACTTGTCCACTGCACTAGGTGAAGGAAAACACCGAAGATAACACCCGGGGGGGAGGCCCCGTTAGCCAGGCAAGGCAACCTCCTAAGGGGAAGGAAAACCCCCGACAGAAAAAACCAATTTCTTTATTACAGATGATGGAGTCTAATAAAGAAGCGATCGTCCTGGGATCGGATACCAGGAACCGGCGTGGGGGGGGTGTAGGCCTGGCTCCCTCCATGTCGTCAACGGACGACAGGTCGTCTGCAGCTTTGCCGGCTGGGGCTGCAGACAAGACAGCGACAGTGCCGAGGAGTGAAAGGGACACGGTGTGTGAACGATTACGCGACCTAGCTCATAGCTGGGAGACTCGTGATCGAAGTGTTGATCCGAAGGAACTTGCTGCGCGTATTCGCCGAGTCCTTCTGGATAAAGTGGTTCGGTGCTATCAGGCCCATCATGTGTATAAGGACCTCGCGAAATACATGGACGTCTTTTTTCGGGAGTGTTCGCGACGCGAAACGAAGTTCTGTGCCAAACACGTTTGCGTACAGTTCTTCGAACCAGTCATTGCGGTTAGCACCGCAGAGTCAGTGACTGGAGAAACAGTAGATGGGGAGAGTGACTGTCAGCCTCTTCCCTCACCGGAAAAGTGCGGGGTGATAGTGATGATGAGGAGATGGAAGCTGCGGATCCGTCTTTCGTCACGCTACCCTCGTCAAGCTCTCCAGAGACCAGTGGGCCAGGACGAGATAGGGATGTTTCTTGGGCTCCTGAGGACAAGAGGGTCCTGACAGGGAGGAAGCAATACCCCAAGAAGACTACAGGTAAGTCCTTTACAGGAAAAAGAGGTCGCCCCATTACAACTGGGGAGTATGCTGGTTTGGCGGCTGAAAAGGAGCGTTTAAATGCTGCCATGAAGGAGTCGCTCAAATTAGAGTACGCGAAAAGAGTTTTAGACCCTTCTTTTGGTCCAACTCTGACTGCTGTTGGTCCGATGAATATTCCTTCGGACACA